GTAGCAGTAGTGGCGGGAGGCTCCGCCCACCTGCGCGGATGCTTCTGCACATGCACAGATGTGTAGCGTGTGAGAGAGAGAGCATGCAGGAATGCATCCGAACCAGTAGTAAATAAATTGATAACCCACCTCTGGCCCTGACCCCACGCATGCGTGCATGAGACCACCCCGTGCCCCAACTCCCACGCATGCACACACAACCCCACAGACATGTGTGCGCAATCCCTCTGTGCTCACCCGTGTCCCGTCCCCCCCGACCTCACCCACTTTTTGCTTCCAGGTTTGTTCAGGAGGTTCACATGCGCTCCATAAACATGAGTCAGTTGCCAAACATCTGAATTTAGATCATGTGACCATAGATAGGCTGCAGCAGTCATAAGTGTGAAAAATGGTCCCTTTTATCAGCACCGTCGGAAAGTTGCAAAATGGGATCATGTGACCCTGGAACAGTGTGACTGTCATAAGTATGAGTCAACGGCGAAGCACCTGAATGTTGATCCCATGATCAGCTGAATGATGCAGCCGTTGGTCGTAAGTCCTATTTTTCAGTACTGTCGTTAAGGTCGCAAAAAGGGGCGCGGGATACCGCAATGGTCATAAATATGAATCAATGGCCAATTCTCTGAATTTTGATCCCATGATACGGGGATGCTACAGTGGTCGTAATTGTGAAAAACGCTCCTCATTCCTTTGTAACTTCCAACGGTTACTCAATGAACTGTTGTAAATCGAGGACTCCCCACACTTTATAAAAACAATAATCATCTTTTAAGAGTTTTCCTTCTGGTGATCCCTTGGACCGTTTTTCTGGAGAAAAAAATATTGTACAATAATTCCTTTTTTTTAAAAAAAAATAATTCCAGCCTTGGATATTACAAGGGGAACAATTTAAAGAGGGAAGAAGCCAATTTTTTTACCGTCGGAAATCCAGTTTTTGTTTATTTTCAACTTCATTTTTCGAACCCCAGGGGCTATTAATTAACAACGGGCCTGCTTAATGTTTTTATAAATAGCTTTGCTATCATTTCTTTTTTCCTGTTTTCCGGTCGCTCTGGGAAGTCCACACGCCCAGGACGCCCGTGCCAAGAAGAGAAACCGAAAGAGGAACGATTCATAGTAGAAAAATTCCAAATATGTCTACTGAAATAATGAGCGAAACATAAAAGGGACATAAAAGGCTTAGCACAGTATGTTAATCCATAATCCATTAATCCATAAACAGAGGCGCAAGGGACCTTGGAGGTCATCTACCCCAACCCCCTGCTTGAGGAGACTCTTATCGAATAACAAGAGTTGGAAGGGGCCTTCAGAGGTCATCTAGTCCAACCCCCGCCTCAAGCAAGAGACCCTTCCAAAAAATAAGAGGGGGAAGGGAACTTGAAGGTCATCTAGTCCAATCCACTGCCCGAGCAGGAGACTCTTCAGGAATGACAGGAAAGTACCTTGGAGGTCATCTAATCCACCCCCACCACTACTACCCGGTCCAGCTGGAAACTGGAATTGGAGGTCATCTAGTCCAACCCACCCACCCACCCCCACCAGCAGAATAAGATTACTATAAGGGCGAGAGGTTTGCTTCGGGAGAACAGCATAGGGAGGCGCATGGGCTGTGCGCCAGCCAGCCGCTTGGGCAAGGCCCCCCGGCAATAATTCTTGGCATAATTCAGAGGGAAGCAGGAAAGGAGGCCCGAGTCTGGCGCCTTTGGTCCCCGGCCCTCCTCCACGCCTCCCAGCTGGAATTGCAGAGCAGGTCTGGCAGGTCAATGGCTCTTTCCAGGGCTGCCTTCCAACACAACCCTCAGATTGTGCAGGCTCTGTGTGTGTGTGTGTTTGTGTGTCAGTGTTTTTGCACCTGTCTTATTTTATCTCATTAGTTATACTCTATTTTGCTATAACTTTATACTATTTTGTTCTTTTTATTATGCTATTTTATTTGATGTATTCTTTATGTTTTATTCTAGTTCATTTCATGCTACTCTTATTTTATTTTTTATTCTATTCAGTTTATATTTTTTATTCTATTCTAGTTTATATTTTGTTATATTCTTTACTTTATTCTAGTTTATATTTTATTCTATTTTTATAATATGGAGTAGAAATATTTAAGATGGAAAGGAGGCCTCCTGTTTAATGAAACCTGTATTTTGAATTTTTCACGATCAGAGCCTTCCTTCGTGACGGACTCGCATTTATGATGGTTGTACCACCTTGGGGCCATGTGATCTCCTTTTGCGACCTTCCGATGAACAAGTCAAACCTGATTCACTTAACGTCCGGGTGACTTAAAAGTACTGCACTTCACTTAAAGGTGAAAAAACTTGTAAAACTTGTGAGCAAACTCACTTAAAATACCTAATTTTTTGTGGCCGAGTCACACGGTAAATCGGGCTTCTCCCTGTGGCCGCAACCATCATACTTTCAGTGAGTTGCCAAGGATCTGAATTTTGATCCTGTCAGCACCTGGATACTGCGATGGTCGTTAAGTGTGTCACATTCCTACCAGTCATAACCTTCAATGGTCACTAAATAATCTGTTGTAACTCAAGGGTTATTTGAATTAAAAGTCCGTTTCAATTCCACTTTGAAACAAGACTTACAATAGTTAATTCTAATACAGGAAGTCCTCGAATTACAACCACAATCGAGCCCAACCACTTTCGTGGTTAAGGGAGTCAAATTGCTAAGTGAATTTTCTTCTTTTTCATGACCTTTCTTGCCATAGTTGTTAAGTGAATCCCTGGCAGTTAACCTAGCAACAGTCGTTAAAACGAATCAGACCTCCCCGTTGATTTGGCCAGTCAGAAAAATTGCTAAAAGGGGATTGGGCGACGGTCATAAATAAGAGTCAGTAGCCAAGGGTCTGAATTTTGATCACCTGACCAAGGGGAGAGGCCCCAGCGGTTGTAAGTGTGATTCTGTCACTTTTTTCACTGACACCGTAATGTTGAACGGTCACTAAATGAGGACTGCCTGTACAATACTGTGCATTTGAACATCCTGGGAGTATAAAGTTGTGGATGGGAAGTTTTGAAAATGTGATCAATTCTGGGACAAGGGGATTTTTCTGCAGGAAAAGCGAAGAAAAGAAATGGGTGATTACAAAATTCAAAGTATTAAAAAAAAATCACATGAAATGAAATAAACGAAATTAAATAAAATTTAAAAATAGGAAAAAAAATAATGAAATGGAATAAAACTTATGTAATTAAATAATTACATAAAATTTAAAATAAAAGGAATGGAATAAATAAAATAATGGAATAAAATGAAATAAAATTTAAAAATTGAATAAAATAAACTTGAAAAGAAATGGAATAAAAAAGTTTAGGTAATAAAATATATAAAATTTAAAATAAAGGAATGGAATGATAAAAAAAATAGAATTAGAAAAATTAAAATGAAGTAAAGGAATGCAATAAAATGAACAGAATAAAATGGAACGGGATGAAATAAAATGAAACAAAATTTAAAACAAAATAATGACATAAAATTTAATATAAAACTAATGGAATAAAATGAAACAAAATGGAATACAATAATAAAATAAAATAGGAAAAAAAAATAAAAACACGCACATCAAAAATCGTGGGCAATTTATTTGCACAAGAAAATTCATTTTTTCCTCACCCTTTTCGTCCTTCCCAACCTTCCTCACCCTCCCTTATTTACAAGACCTTAAAAACTCACTATTTTCCCTCGGTCAGCAGGTGGGGCTGTGCAAAACAGGCCAGAGCAGGCTGAAAATGGCAAAGGACTACATAAACCATACGCACCCCCCCCCCCCGAGCCCAGGGTTTGGGCCGTTCCAGGGAATGTTTTTTACACAGGAAGCGATGAGCGAGGCTACCTTGAGATCCACAAATGGTCAGTAGACTCAGCTGCTGGCTCTCCAGTGTCCCCAAAACAAACCAGCATTGCTGGCTTAAATAAACCGAGGTAGCGTGTTTTTCTTTTCCTGGGTCTGATGTAGACCTCGAATGCCAAAAACAGAAAAATGGAAGCTTACACAATGTTACACTTCCTGGAAAAGTTCCTTCACCCGCACCAGCTATTAAGGATTTTTAATACTGACATGGACGCCCAGTTTGCGTAACGCTAAGCCATTATTTAAAACTCCCAGAGCGAGCAGGAGACAAAGACCTGAGTGTGGTTTCTCTGAAATCAGAGGTTGAAGTCAGTTTCTCATTCATTGAAAAAGAATAATCTTGGTTTAAGGTAAACTTGGGATGTGTGCGGACATCTCAAGCCAAGTTTGCTTAACCAGAGTTTGTGACAAACTAAGGTTAACTTGGGGGTTGTCTGAATTAGAGTAGCAACTTCTGGTTTAGCGTTACACAAAAGATGGACACACCCAAAAGCAAGATTTCCAAACTGGTGTTCTGCTTTTCTTAATTAAACAGAGTTTGTGACAAACTAGGGTTAACTTGCACGGGGATCCTAGATTAGCTTAACTGCAATCTGTCTGAATTGTGACTAGAGACTTCTGGTTTAGCATTACACAAAACAGAAGCTAGATTTCCAGGCTAGAATCCTGCTCGGCTTAACCAGTTTATGACAAACTAAACTTAGCTTGTATGTTATATTCACATTGCTTCCAAATTAGCTTAATGATAGTTGGGGCTTATCTGAATTGTGGTTTAGAGAAGCAACCTCTGGTTTAACATTACATAAAACATGGACAAATACCACCACCACCCACCCAAAAAAAAAAGAGCAAGATTCGGCAAGCTAGCATGCCGGCTTATGCTTCCAATGTCGGTTTATGCCAAGGCTTCTTTCGAAATTGTTCAATTACCACTGGAGGGTTTTTTTCCTCTCTTCTTCCTAAGTTGCTTTTTTGGATCCTGGATTAGGAATCTGAACTGTGATTGGAGCTTGTCTGAATGGTGGCTAAGTGACGATTGTGTGTATACACAGACACACACAAAAAGATGTATGTATGTATGTATGTATGTATGTATATATATAATCTCATACATACATATATTCATATATATCTATTGCTTCATCTGACAGCATTTATATATATTAATATAGTTTCATCTGATATATATATATATATACATATATATATACATTTGTGTGTGTTTGTGTGTGTGTGTGTGTAGGCCCTTTCTACTTTCCCACCTGTGCTATTGAAACACAGGAAAAACCATCCAGGATTCGCGGCTAGAGTGCCTCCCTGTCACACCTGGGACGGCAGCCTTGTGGTCTCCGTCCGGTCGCGCAGGACGGACCCAACCTCCCCCCCCCCTTTCAAAAAATGTGTCCGTTTCAGACTCCGCCGGCCCCCTTCAGAGCTTCTTCAAGCGGCTGTAGTGTTCGCGTTTGCTCTTCTCGCCTGCCCAGGTCCGGCTCCGGGTGCGAAAGGTGCGCAGGTCCTCCTTGAAGTCCTTGTGGTGCATGGGGCGGTAGCTCTGGGGCTCACAGTAGCTCTAGACGGGAAGGAGAGAGAGAGAGAGAGAGGGATTTCGCAGCTGTGCCAAAGCGAACAAGCACAAACAAACCATCATGGGGTTTTCCCTCCCCTGACGCTGAGGTGGGGCGGTGTAAAGTCACAGCCGATAGAAGAGAAATATGTGATTGGGGGTTGAGCTAGTGGGATCCTTGGTGCTCTCTGAGCTGGGGGGG